CCTACACAAGCCCTGGCTGACCTGTGTCTATGCAGGCTACAAAGCAAGCCTGGAAAGGGGAAGCAAGTTATGCGGGTGAGTGTCCCTCAGCAAGCCATGGCTGGTGCTGTTGCCCTAGGGATGAAGGAGCAGTCACAGCCAGTGAATATCCTGAGGCTACAGCCCAGCTGAGCATTTAAAAACACAATGATTATATTAAGACCACTCCTGCAGTCCTTTTTCACTCAGGGCCTTCATCCCACATCTTACGAAGTCCAGTGAGTTTCTTCCAGAAATAAGGATTTGCAAGCTCCTGTTCTTAGCCCGTCTGCTGTAAGCAACCTTTTAAACTCCACAACTTATTGATTCGCTCCTTCTCTTTTGATTAAATGGGTAAATGGGTTTTAGAAAGAAATTCTGCAAAGACTTAATGACTGGAAAAAGATCTTTTTAGGTGTTTTGTAGATGTTGGTGCATTATGAACATAGAACTGTAAAAGTGCTCAGCATTTTCAAGGTCTTTTGACAAAGTACTTTTATGTCCATGGCAGACAAATAAGCAATATTGGGAAGTTTTAGTGACTGAGCCATATTTATCATAGATAGGTTTTGTAAGTAATACAATGCTGTTTATTAGCTCTGTTTTTGGGCATGTGGTGGTGCTTTGGTTTTTTGTGTTTTGCTTTGATTATTAAATATTCATGGGCCAAATCCTCTGCCGAACTAAACGGGCAAATAATTGACTTAAGTGGAATATTGCAAAATGAGATTAGACAGGACCTTTCAGCTCATTTGTGGGCAACGAAGTAACAGGTAGTTTATTCCAGGGAAGTCTGTGACGAAAGGTGTTGTGCATTTTGTTGTGCATTTACACTTGACAGTAAAATTGCCCTATGTAACAGGCAAACAAAGAGTAACAGAGACCAAACTAACTCCAGCTCAAAATGGGTCATAATATTCCTGTCAGAAATCTTACCTCTTACCAGAACATAACATTTTGTAAGATTAGTTTGCCTCTTTGTAGGGAATTGCAGCAGCAGATAATATGATTAAAAAGACCTAAGAGTTTGATTGCTGTGATTTCCGTTTTCCTCAACAACCAACCACCCCATGGGAGCACTAATTTTATGGGTTTTTTTTTTTCCATAGGCTGTAGCAAGAACCAGAGGGTGATAATTATTGACAGTTACCCACAAAAACACATGATTATTCATCAGGTGATGATCAACGTCAAACAGTGCTGAATGGATCAGAGCCAAGATTTAGACACACATACAAAGATACTGGCACAGGTGAGCTAGCTAAGGAGATTGCTGGGGTTACTTCTTCCGCTTAACTCACCCTCTTCTTACACCACCACTATTTTGTCACTGGTGAGCAGGAAGCCTTAAACACTTCCACAGTTAGTCAGGAGTTGGAGCTGCCCATCTCATGCCCTCTCTGACAGTCCCTTTCTGTGTTTACATTTCCAATGACCTAATTCATGGGGTGATTATGTTACACAAAGCACTATTCTACCTCTGCTACTTCCTGTACAATCTTTTTTTCTGAATAATGTTTTCAGTTAAGATTTAAATCGTTCTGCTTAGCCTTTATCTGTCCCTATCCTCAGCAAACTAAAAACTAAATATGCAATGAGACAAGGAACAAATGAGCTGCAAAGTTAAGCAAAGGATTTGCCTTTTCATGTACATAGCTCTTTCTGCATAACTTATCATGTGTTTTTTTTATTGTTTTCTCTCTTCTGCTCTTTGTTACCTGCTGGTAGCATCATCCTTATTTTGGTTTTAGCTCATTTAGATGATAAGTTTCTCAGAGCTGTGATCTGATTTTATTTGTCTGTGAAGAGCTCTGAGTGCACCTATTGCAAAAACAAATGCCAAATAACAAAATCTTGTCAAGGTGAAACGTAGTCTAAACCTTCTAGGAATTCCAATGCATCCAAATTAAAAAAGAACATCAGGCCAGCCAAAGTAAATTGTGCAGGCTTTTCAGAAGCAGAACTGGAAAAAAGAAATGGACCTGAAGCACTTGGACCAAAGCGCATGGGACCAAACGTAGCAGGGAACGTCTTGAACTTGTAGGAAAAGTGCAGCCTGCCCATCATTTCTTGGGGACAGCCCTCACTCAACATTTAATTTCTGCAGCGAAGTAAATTTAAGAAGCAAGCAGTTTATCACACCCACAGTCAACAAACATGAAACAGCAACTTAGTCTATTGGATTCAGCTGCAAACACAAGCTCAGGTAATTCTCTGGGCAGCTACTGGGTTTAAGGAAAGTGAGATGCTCAACTAGCATGGAACTAAGTCTACCTGACTTTCTAATCTTTCCTCAATTTCTCTGTTGGCCTATTAGAAACATTCTTTCTCCTTTTGTATTTTGAAGCATAGCTTACCTCTCCAACCTCCTCTGTAAACAGAATAGGGAAATCATTCCCACTTGCGCCTTTTCTGCTTCCCTCAGAGTTGCCTCCTTCTGCTTTCTCCACAGCAGCCATAGATATTTTTCTTTCTCTCCATTACAAAAAAGGATTTAATGTCTTACTGTCAATCACTACAAAAAGGTCTAACGACTGCATAATCCTCAAGAGGAGTTTCATCTCAAAACTGGCCCTAGAGGACAGCTGGGCGACTGCTGTTGTGGATGCAGGAACTCCTCCTCTCCCTGCTCAGGCTGCATTTGGCCACCTTTCCACAAGAAGATATCTGGAAGAACGTCAGTGCAACCTTCCAAAAAAAGAGTAATAGTTCAGAGAATCTGATTTTCTTTTATTTTCAGCTATTTAAACATTTAAGTTTACTGCACTCCAGTTGCTAGAAACAAGACCATCTCATTCCTCCTGTGTGAGGCATTCATATATCATCTTATGTTGCTCTGAAACCACTGAGGAAATAAAGTGCTGGGATGGTAAAAGGATGGCTTCTCTGCTTGCTGATTCTGTCTCACCCTACTGTATTCAAAAGAAGGGTTTTCTTCCATAGCCACTTTGTGTAAAATCCCCATTTACAGCCACTTCTCTTGCTGCCTATATCTGTTCTCAAACCATCACTAATAAATTCTCCTGATGTTCAAATTCACCAAATCAATCAATGTGCTTTGTGTTATAAGAGCCTCCCATCTTACCTGAGGACAGAGGCCAATATTAGCCATGATCTTCATAAGTAAAACACTCCAACCGTTGCCACTGTAAGCCAAAATCTAACTTTGATGATTAATCCACGTGCATAAGAAAATGTGGCAGCTCTCCTCATGGAAAACATTAATATAGCATAACAAAAATTGTATACTTCTATGGAATTCTAGGAAACATAAGGAAAAGGAATTTGGGGGAGTGTTCAATTCCCAAAGTTATGTAATTTGATGTATTTTCTGTGTTTTTTTTGTCATGTGCATAACACAAATCTTACACTCTGAATACTTATCCATAGATTTCATTAAACCAAATATGGAAAAGGGCTTCCAAAATTATCAACTTACTTTCTTCAAAGTACCCTAAGAAATGCATTTACAGCAAATTTAAAGGTTTAGCAGACCTGGCAAGGTCTGGGGTAGTAAATTGCAAAAGGGATGATTCCCCACAGAGTATTACTCAGATTCTGTCTACAGTTTGGAGGCATAGGAGTCTGCACCTTTAACTACAGCTGTGGATCCAAATTTAAATTGCTTTAATTGTGATTTAAAGTAGATTCAAAACAGTTCTGTTAATTTGCTGCACACCTCCATATGTGCAATTTACTGCAGCAATTCTCTCTGTCTAGTCCAAGTCAACTTGCCACAGGTTTCAGCTAAACAGAAAGCCAACTGAAATAAGAGCAGCCACACAAAGTTTTGATGCACTTTAGCTGAAAAGATGCAAGAATTTATGTAAGCTAAGGGATGCGAGCCTGCTCTCGAAGCAACAGCTCCACAGTTTAGCAGGTTGCCATCTATCAATCAGCTGTGTCATACTAACCAGCCAGGTCCCACCTCTGAAATAAGCTAAAGAGCAAAGGAAAACACCTTGGCCACCTGCAGTCCTGCTTTAGTTAGTTGGAGCTTTTCTGGTTGTCTTCTCAGCTTGTTGTCTATGTGGCAGGAGATGAATGAGGGGTGGAGACTGCAGTGAAGGGAGGCCCTGACAGGAAGAGGAGGTGCTTGACCTGCATGATGAAACCACTTACTGTAGCTCGTCCACTCAGAGCGGCTGTGTCAGCTTCAA